GGTATGAACTAAATCATATCCCTGATGAATATACAGTAGAGGTGACAAATAGATTTAAGGAATTAGATCTGATAGACAAAGTGCCTAAAGAACTATGGACGGAGGTTCACAACATTGTACAAGAGGTAGCAACTAAAACCATCCCAAGAAAAAGATGCAAGAAAGCAAAATGGCTGTCTGAGGAAGTTTTGCAAATAGCTGAGGAAAGAAGGGAAGCGAAAGGCAAGGGAGAAAGAGAAAGATACACCCAGTTGAATGCAGAATTCCAGAGAATAGCTAGAAGAGATAAGAATGCCTTCTTAAACGAACAGTGCAAAGAAATAGAAGAAAACAATAGAATAGGAAGGACCAGAGATCTCTTCAAGAAAATTGGAGATATGAAGGGAACGTTTCATGCAAAGATGGGCATGATAAAGGACCAAAATGGCAGAGACCTAACAGAGGCAGAAGAGATTAAGAAGAGGTGACAAAATTACATAGAAGAACTATACAAGAATGAGCTTAACATCCCTGATAACCATGATGGGATGGTCACTGACCTTGAGCCAAACATCCTAGAATGTGAAATCAACGGGCCTTAGGAAATCTAAGCAACAACAAAGCTAGTGGAGATGACAGTATTCCAGCTGAGCTATTCAAAATCTTAAAAGATGATGCAGTAAAAATGCTACGCTCAATTTGCCTGCAAATTTGGAAAACTCAACAGTGGCCACAGGATTGGAAAAGGTCAGTTTACATTCCTATTCCAAAGAAAGGCAATGCCAAAGAATGTTCAAACTATCGCACCATTGCACTCATTTCTCATGCTAGTAAGGTTATGCTTAAAATCCTACAAGCTAGGCTCCAGCAGTATGTGGATCGAGAACTACCAGAATTTAATTTAATTTAATTTAATTTCCAATTTATATACCGCCCTTCTCCCTGAGGACTCAGGGCGGTGTACAGCCAAGATAAAAAACATAGAATACAAATATTAAAAAAAACATTTAAAAATATATATAAATTTTGGCCCGAAAGTTAAGAAATCACAGACTGATTAAAAAAAATTTAAAATTTCTTCTTAAGCCAACCCGGCTTGCTGGAAAAGATGGATTTTAAGGGAGCGACGGAAGGCATTGAGGTCATGGATTCTCCTTATCTCCGGGGGCAACTGATTCCAGAGGGTGGGAACCCCCACCGAGAAGGCCCTCCCCCTGGGGGTCACCAGCCTACATTGTTTGGCTGATGGCACCCTGAGGAGGCCCTCTCTGTGGGAGCGCACGGGTCGATGGGAGGTCGTCGGTAGCAGCAGGCGGTCTCGCAGATAGCTAGGTCCTATGCCATGGAGCGCTTTAAAGGTGATAACCAACACCTTGAAGCGCACCCGGAAGACCACCGGGAGCCAGTGCAGCTCGCGCAGGAGCGGTGTTACATGGGAGTGCCATGTTGCTCCCATCACTACTCGCGCTGCTGCATTCTGGACCAGCTGGAGCCTCCGGGTGCTCTTCAAGGGGAGCCCCATGTAGAGAGCATTGCAGTAGTCAAGGCGAGAGGTGATGAGGGCGTGCGTGACTGTGCACAAGGAATCCTGATCGAGAAAGGGCCGCAGAAGTACAGGCAGGATTTTGAAGAGGCAGTGGAACTAGAGATCAAATAGTCAACATATGCTGGATCATGGAGAAAGCTAGGGAGTTTCAGAAAAACATCTAATTCTGCTTCATTGACTATACTAAAGCCTTTGATTGTGTGGATCACAACAAACTGTGGCAAGTTCTTAAAGAGATGGGAGTACCAGACCATCTTATTTGTCTCTTGAGAAAACTATATGCGGGTCAAGAAGCAACAGTGAGAACTGGACACGGAACCACTGATTGGTTCAAAATTGGAAAAGGAGTCCGGCAAGGCTGTATACTGTCACCCTGCCTGTTTAACTTATATGCAGAGCACATCATGAGAAAGGTGGGGCTAGATGAATCAAAAGTTGGAATTAAGATTGCCGGGAGAAATATCAACAACCTCAGATATGCAGATGATACCACTTTAATGGCAGAAAGTGAAAAGGAACTAAAGAGCCTCTTGATGCAGGTGAAGAAGGAGAGTGCAAAAGTTGGCTTGAAACTCAACATTAAGAAAACTAAGATCATGGCATCCGGCCCTTTCAATTCCTGGCAAATAGATGGGGAAGAAATGGAGGTAGTTACAGATTTTGTTTTCCTGGGCTCCAAGATCACCACAGATGGGGACTGCAACCAATAAATTAAAAGACGCTTGCTCCTGGGGAGGAAAGCTGTGGCAAATCTAGACAGTGTACTAAAAAGCAGAGACATCACCCTGCCAACAAAAGTGCATATAGTCAAAGCTATGGTTTTCCCAGTTGCAATGTATGGCTGTGAAAGTTGGACCATAAGAAAGGCTGAGCGCCAAAGAATTGGGGCCTTTGAACTATGGTGCTGGAGAAGACTCCTGCGAGTCCCTTGGACTTCAAGGTGATCAAAACGGTCAGTCCTAGAGGAGATCAACCCTGACTGCTCTTTAGAAGGCCAGATCCTGAAGATGAAACTAAAATATTTTGTCCACCTAATGAGAAGGAAGGACTCACTGGAGAAGTGCCTAATGCTGAGAAAGATTGAGGGCAAACGAAGAAGGGGACGACAGAGAACGAGGTGGCTGGATGGAGTCACTGAAGCAGTAGGCATGAGCTTAAATGGACTCCAGAGGATGGTAGAGGACAGGAAAGCCTGGAGGAACATTGTCCATGGGGTCTCAATGGGTCGGACGCAACTTCGCAATTAACAACAAGAAGACTGTGGTTTACTTTATCAGTTCTGGCCTTGACATTATGTGGTGTATTGAAGAGAAGGACTGGGCTGATATGATAGAAGTCTATCAGGGGCTATTCGAGGTGCTGACCCAGAGAAGAAAAGGTAAACCTACTCCCCAGAGCACCTGAGAGCTGTAGAAGAAGTAAAGATGGAAGATTATGTAGGAGAGATCCAATCTAGAACTAAAGAGAAATTTCCTGACAGTGAACATAATTTTAAGAAGTGACTGGACAACTATTTGTCTGGAATGATATATAAGGTGTCCTGTTTGGCAGGGGGTTGGACTAGAAGACCTCCAGGATCCCTTCCAGCCTTATTATTCTATATTCTAGGTTCTAGGTTTCCATAGAACCGATGCTTCAGAATAAAAACAACATCATAGCTGTGCTGACTTCTCTACTGCTGATTCGCTCTGCTGTATCTCTGCAGTCTGAGTTACTTCTGGCAAGGCTTTGGTTTTTCTGCTCTGAGTAGACTTTTGCAATTCTCCCAATTCTTCTTTGAATATTTTGTTTTATAAAGCAACATTGCATTTCCTGTCTTGTTCTACACATAGAGCCATCTTCACGTTTTAATGCAAAAACCTTCTTTCTTGTATTTGTTAGCTTGCATTATGCTCTATTAATCCCTTTGTTTTCTTCAATTGCCTTTTTCATAAGCTTCACATTAAACTGACACATTTCTTCTTAGAAATGTTTTCTTATGGTCTTGCAAAGTTTATTAGTGAAACGTCTGGTATTCTTCATTGTCCATTGTTTTTTCATTAAATCAATAGTTTCATCAGAGATTTTTGACTGTACAGTGTGTTTCTCCAGCAGTGCTATAGATGTAGTAGATTCAAGGATGAATCTGCAAGATCCAAATCTTGCAATACAGTGAAGTGATATGACAGATTAATCTCAAAATCGCTGTTCTCCTCTAACAGCTGATCACTCTTTATTTTTGTTTTTTTGTGACGTCTTTATCATTTTCATGCTCTCTTTTCAACAGCCTATCTTTACTTTAGCTCCTTCCATTCTATGGTCACTTCCAAGGTTAAAACAATGGATGACAGACAGTACAATTGCAGAATATGGTATTGCGGGCCCAATTGGCAAGAGAAAGCTCAAGACCTTATTGATTGGAAACATGTGGAAGAAGCTTTCATCCTGGAGTGGATAGACAATGGCTAAAATGATGATGATGATAATGAAATCAATGTTGATATGCTAGTCTCTGTTCTATTATTTATGATTCAGGATGTTCTTTCCAGAATTGGTGCCTGTGTTTCAAATATCCTCTTCTTGTTGAGCTGGATAATAACATATTGTTTCTTTGTAAGCATACTAAAAAGCAGAGACATCACCCTGCCAACAAAGGTGCGTATAGTCAAGGCTATTTTTTTCCCAGTTGCAATGTATGGTTGTGAAAGTTGGACCATAAAGAAGGCTGAGCGTCAAAGAATTGAGGCCTTTGAACTATGTTGCTGGAGAAGACTCCTGTGGGTTCCTTGGATTGCAAGGTGATCAAATCGATCTCCATGAGGAGATCAACCCTGACTGCTCTTTAGAAGTCCAGATCCTGAAGATGAAACTCAAATACTTTGGCCACCCAATGAGAAGGAAGACTCATTGGAGAAGTGCCTAATGCTGGGAAAGATTGAGGGCAAAAGAAGAAAGGGATGGCAGAGAACGAGGTGGCTGGATGGATGCACTGAAGCAGTTGGCATGAGCTTAAATGGACTCCGGGGGACGGTAGAGGACAGGAAGGCCTGGAGGAATGTTGTCCAAGGGGCGCGATGGGTTGGACACGACTTCGAAACTAACAACAACATTTCTTTTTAAGGATAAACATCTTTTCTTCCAGCTGTTGTTAGTAAAGCTGACTTTTGGAATTGACCAATGGTGATTTTGTCACTGCCAATGATGTCCAAGAGGTGCTCCAGTTGTTTTGGGATTGCACCCTAGGTGTCTCTTACTATTGGTTACTACTTTTGTCTTCTTTTGCCACAGTTGTTCTATTTCTATTTGCAGGTCTTTGATTTTATTATCTTTCCCAGTCTTGACAATTGGTTTGTTATATGGCAGGCACCTGTCTTTTTGAAGTCCAGACTCCAGGAACACTTTAGCTTCTTCATTGTCTATACCTTTACCTTATGGTCCCAACCGGTTCTTCCAGGCAGGCAAATGGTGTTTCTTATAGATCTTGCAATGCACCCATGTTGCTATTTTGTCATGCCGTTCTTTGTAGTAGTTTGTGTGATCTTCTTGGGTTGGGCCGTCTACTGTTGGCTTGTTTGGCAGTTCGTTCACTGGGGCGTGGTTTACTTTTTGATTGGTGGTTTGATGTTAATCTTGATGTCTAATCAATCTCATCTGAATGTTGATTGCCGGTTTGGTTCCCTTTTTTGACTTGTTGATTGAAATCTCAGAAAAAAGAAAACTGGAAAAAATCAGAGATAATTTTTTTCTTAATTTTTTTTTTTTTGCATGACTCCTATATAAATCTCCTGTGAAACAACAACCTCTCATTATGATTATTTCACTTTTGCTGAATAAACATGGCATCGCATCTTTATCTATGTTGGTTGAACGGTTTGAATAGATGTACCTGGCAGCTCATCTCCTCTTCCTCCTCCCTTGCCTTCATCTCTCGTTGCCTCAACATCTCTATTGCTTTTGGGACATCAGGAGTAAGCTGGACAAGCCCTGGGAAAAAAATAGCAAAATAACTAGTACTTGTAAAGTTAAACTTTGGATGAAATCAGTTGTTTTCATTTTTAAAATGCAAAGATTTAAAATGCATAGAATTAAAATAATACTCACTTTCTTCCATTTGTTTGAGTTTCTTTTTCATTTCGTTGTTTTCTTCCACAATACGTGCCATATTGCTGGCAAGTGTTTTATTTTCTTCTTCCAGCTAAGATACAGAAATTAGAAGAAGTGTACATCAGTCATAGAATAGAAATAAGAGGACCAAAAAAGAAGCTTAAGACAGGATTGTAAGGGAATAGAATGACTTACAGCTGTTATTCTGGCATTCTTTTCAGCCAGCTCCTCCTGATGCCTTGTTGTTACTTCATGGATGTGCTCCCTCTGTTTTCTTTGCTGCTTGAGGTATTTTTGCAGACACACCTGCGAAAAGAAGACATTTTGAACACCTTTGAGCACATCTTAGTATGATACTGTCTCTAGACTCTATTGCTATTAAGGAAAAAACTACAAGACCCAGAAAGCTGTCCTCAGTAACCACTGTTAAGCAACAATCCTCATGACATCACCTGAAGCTTGCCTCTAGCCAGCTGTGGGGACAGCTGAAGTTGCCTTTAGTTGGTCTGCTGTTAAAATGATGTTATAATGGCCCTCTTCTTCCAATATCAACCTTGCTGTATGAACATTGACAGTGCCTCCCAGGTAGTGTTGATGACAGCATGGTCAGAGCAGGGGTGAAATCCAGCAGGTTCTGACAGGTTCTGGAGAACCGGTAGCAGAAATTTTGAGCAGTTCGGAGAACTGGCAAATACCACCTCTGTCTGGCCCCAGAGTGGGGTGGGAATGGAGATTTTGCAATATCTTTCCCCTAGGAGTGGGGAGGGAATGGAGATTTTGCAGTATCCTTCCCCTAGAGTGGGGTGGGAATGGAGATTTTGCCGTATCCTTCCCCTGCCACTCTCACCAAGCCACTCCCACCGAGCCACACCCACAGAACCGGTAGTAAAAAAAATTGGATTTCACCACTGGGTCAGAAGCTCGGATCCTCCCATCTCTAGTTTAGTGTAAGGTGACTCTGGGCCTCCTGACTATTAATTATATGGATTTTAGGCAGCTGTTTGTAAATTGTCAAGAATTCATATACAGTCAGCGGTACAAAAATACTATTAAATCAGCCAGTCAGTGCCAGCTTCTATCCATCTTTCCTCTGATATGGTTCTGGCCTAATTATCATAGAAAACTTTGGTACATGTACTGTTCTGGAAGGCTGTCCTGTGGATGTGTTTAAATTGAAAATATTAACACAATTCATCAAGAAACCCTGAAAGAGGTTGTGAAAATACTTTTTTAAGTAATCAGGATAAAAAGTTATACTAAAAGTTATTCTAAAATAATTGTACTTATTCCTAGGTTCCTTTGATTTCTATTTTATTTCATTATTAAATTTTAATGTCATGTATCTGTCGTATTATCTGTCATGTTACCTTTTTGAACTCTAAATCCTAGAGTCAGACATGCAAGCTAACAAGTAAATAAATAAAACCGAAGATCTCTTACCTCAAAAAGGGCTTTCCCTGCGTAATAGAGGAAAGTCTCCATGATGGAAATAAGGTGAACGTTAACTAAGATAAACTACTCCTAACTAACTAAAGAAATATATTACATATGATAAATAAAGATATATATATAAAGATATAAATAAATCATTTGTAAATAGGTATAATATGAAGTAAATAGATGAATAAATAAACAAATAAATATTGTAAAATAAAACAAACCTAAACTGTAAATAAAGTTAAATAAAAACAAAAGCAAATTAACCAACCAATCATCAAAGTACCCCACAGACCTAAAAGCTCTGCTGAATAGTTTTCACTCAACCCACCCAAAAGTTTTAATTACTTCTCCTTTGTGAGCTCATGCACCTGTCAGCAGTATTATGAGGCGTGACCTCATGAAGGAAAAGCAAAGCAAACTGATTAGCTGGATGAATGCTACTCAAAGTTTTATCTACTTTTCAATATTGGTAGAAAAGTAAATACAAAATCCTGCTGATGAGTTTGATGGAATCAGAGGATGAAATAACAACAAAAATGAAAAAGAAAAATTAGTGTCCCTGAAGAAAGCACCGAGATGTCTGGAGAAATACGCACAATTGAGAGTGAAAAAGTGGTGAATGAGCAGAACTGGAGAGATTTCTGTCTTTGGGAGAGTCAATTACACTGTGGATGTTGCTCCACCAAACTTCAAGAAATACACAGTATTTTAACTTAACCATTCAGCAACAGCCCTTTATTTTCTGGTCTGAGCTGCTGGTATACAGGTAGTCCTCAACTTACCACCACAATCAAGCCCAAAATTGATCTTCCAAAAAACCCTTATCAAGAACTGGTTGGGTGACCGGGGTCGAGTCTGATGGAAGGTGCACCTGAAGGAGCTGTGGGGGAGAGTTTGGGAAACAAAGTTTTCCCAGAAAGAGAACTGGGTCAAGAGATCACACAACCCGGAGCAGGATGGTGGAGCATGAAAGAGGGTCAGGTTAGGGTAGCCATACACTAGAGTAACTTAGGGTATCTCTAGTAGTTAAAGGTTATAGTTCAAGATTGACATGGTTCTATCTATTAGGTGTAGTAAATCAAAGATTGAAGTCAATTGGATTTGTCAATGTGTCATTTCTGGGCTTGGGCCTGACACTGGGGTTCCCTGGAGCCACAAACCAGGGGTGAAATCCAGCAGGTTCTGACAGGTTCTGGAGAACTGATAGCGGAAATTTTGAGTAGTTTGGAGAACCAGTAGTGGAAATTTCGAGTAGTTCGGAGAACCAGCAAATACCACCTCTGGCTGGCCCCAGAGTAGGATGGGAATGGAGATTTTGCAATATCCTTCCCCTGGAGTGGGGAGGGAATGGAGATTTTGCAGGATCCTTCCCCTGCCACGCCCACCAAGCCACGCCCACCAAGCCACACCCACAAACCGGTAGTAAAAAAAATTGAATTTCAACACTGCCATGAACCTATCTAAATCGTTCCATTATTGAAGCAGGGGAATATTTTTGTTTCTTTCAACTATGAGACCTCCAATATTTTAGGATATTTATTATGGTCTTTTACATCTGTATTTACTAGTTTTATATCCTTTTAAAAAAATATATTCTGCCTGCCTAGAGTCACCTTGGGTGAGATGGGCAGCTATATAAATTTGATAAATAATTAAGTAGGTAAATAAATAAATCGTTTATGTCACTTGATTTTCCATATAAGTTAGGAAGTTTTGCTTTGCTTTTCCCTTTTCACAGCGTTTTTTTCTGATCTCATTACAGTATATCGTAAGCCTGAGCCCTGCTTTTCACATTGGGTTTTGCTTGTTTTTGCTGTTGACCCTGAATAACAGATACTCTAAATATTAAGTCTTCTACTTAACAAGTGATCAAAGAGATGACAATATTTGTAGCTCAGAGTTGGGCTGTGGAGTCCTTGGAGCTCTCTGAGCTTCGTTATTTGCATACAGATGGTTCCTTACTCAACTTGGTAACTTCTTTGCTAGAATGGAGCTGGATTTGCTCCCGGTTTACATACAGCAGCTTACCCAGCCAGTGTTGGTGGAGCTGTATTTTTGTCTTTGGTAGATTTTCATTCGGACTTCTTTGTGGAGCACAATAAAATGCATGGGAAAATTGCATTGCCAATGAAAATTAATCTAGGGTAAAGGCTAGGATTAATCTTGTGGTAGGGTATAAAAAGGAAGGAAAGAGAAGGAAAAGCCAGGCAAGGCAAAGAAAAGGGTCAGGATCAGAAGTAGTCAGTTACAATTATAAATAAGGTGGTTTGGGTTAGATAGCAGGAGGAACTTCCTGAGCTGTCACGTAGTGGAACTGACTGCTATAGAAGCAGAAGTTCCCTCTTATGAATTTTAGTATAGCTGCATAGTGTAGCCCGATAGTTTAAGAATATTCTATTCTATTCTGTTCTGTTACTCTATTCTATTCTGTAAGTCTACTCTACTCTACTCTACTCTACTCTACTCTACTCTACTCTACTCTACTCTACTCTATTCTACTCTACTCTACTCTGTAACCCTACCCTACCCTACCCTACTCTACTCTCCCTTCAAGCACACTACCACGTATAAAAAAGCAGTGGAATCTTTAGTGCCATCTGAAGGTCTTGAAAAGCCTGCTCCTAGAATGTTTATTGAGCTTGTTTGTACTTCCAATATATCTATTTACCTTTTGTTTGTAATCTCTCTCTTTCCCTCACCCATGAGTTTTTCATCTGAGATTTCAAAACAGATTATCATTCAAGTGAATGGCAATCCCAGCACTCATTCATTCCTCCTCCCATTATTGCCAGAAAGGATTGGCCCTCCTTATAAATGTCACTCACCTTGCCGAAATATAGGACTTAGATGTTAATCTAAGTCAGCACACCAGTCCATTCAGTTCCATATTGATTCCAACAGGGCATCTTCAAAATGGTGTGCATAACTACGGCTTCAAAATGGTGTGAACATCAATCAATGTTCAATGCTCTTCTAACATGCATCACACACACACACACACACACACACACACACACACACACACTGAAAAAGGGTGGGGCTTCAATTGCCTAGTCTTACCTGCCATTTTGGCACAGATGATCCCAGGATGTCCTGCTCCCAACCCCCTACTAGGGGTGTCAAACTGGCACCCATGGGCTGGATGTGTCACACGCAGGCCATGCCCACCCCAGCTCCGCAAATGGGGAAAACATCACAAAATGTCACTTGACGGCAATGTGACACCACGTGTTTGACACCCGTGCCCTACCTGAAGGTCCTGGGGTTGAAACTAAGAAATTCTACAAAGCCTGCACTGTATACCTCAGTTACAGTCTCTCTCCCTTGGTATGGCTTTTTTGAATCAAAGGAAACCCAGATTTGGAAACATTTAAGGGAAAATGATAAATAGCCCTCAGTGTGCACATGTGTGCATCCTTTATTGCAACCCAATAAATGTCCTGATAACATACAGCAGAGCCACAAGGTTAAGCATCTGTTAATTAAATTCTTTCAACTGCATCATCTGAGGATCATTGAACCTGATCTGTCTTACTCATGGAGTAAGGATACTTTTTTCCCAGGAGATATTTTGTGTTTAATTTTGCTTAAACACAAAATGAATGATGCAGAGGGAAAATGGATATTTATTTCTCCCCCCTCATTGGAAATCATGAGCTTACCATTAAAGATGTTAAATAAGATGGACAGAAAACCTTCCAGAGCAGTTTGTTGTGTTTTCCTTCTTTTTTGTTCTTAATAAAAGGCTTGGGAGAAAATTTAAGGAATGAGTTGTAGGAGAGAAGCAATGGAATATTTTCTTTCCTCTTAACCCAATTCTCATTTCTTCCTCAATTTCAAGTTGTTTAAATAGGAGGCAAAATGTGTCAGCCTTCAAGGTACTTCAGGCAAGAAGCACCAACTCTCAGTATTAACACTTAACACTACTCATTTATTTAAAAATAAATTGAATGCAATGGGAAGCATATGTTGCAAAACCAGCAATAAACACAAGAATCAAGTAGGCTGAATGAAGGTGGATCAGATACTAAAATGAGTGGCTGGATACTTGGAGGAAGATCTAATGCAGGGGTTTCAAACTTCCAGTGTCACGTTGTCGTCATGTGACGTATCGTGACTTTCCCCCCCTTCGCTAAACCAGAAGTGGGTGTGGCCAGCATGTGACCCATCTGGCCTGCGGACTGTGAATTTGACACCCCTGATCTAATGGGTTGAAAAAAGGAAGACGACCTAGAAACTTGTGGTTAGGTTGAATCTGCAAGAAAAGAAAAGTGAGAAATTTGAAAAACAAAAAATGATATATAAAACAACATATGGATGTAATGGAAGTAAGTAGTGCTATTGTAAATTAGACAGTTTTATTTCTTATCCTTTTCCTTATCTGAATTTTATTATTTTGTCTTAATTATTTTCTACAGTTTGAGTAAGATTTATCCTACAAAAGTAATGGATGATGGGTAAGTATGTCTATATGTAGTTCTCCACAATATCTACATTATTTCATTTTGATAGAATAATATGTAGGGTTAATTTTAAGGTACCAGAAAACCTACTGGTAACTTTTTGATTCTGCAGACAATGCCAAAGTCATTTTCTAAATAATAAGAACTTGCTGTTCTTTATCTTTCTCCTATCTCTCAAGGTTTCTGCCAACATCGGCCAGATTTTCTTGGCACAAACTGGCTTTAAGCATGAATGTGGGCGAAGTCAATACAATTCCGGAAAGGAAGATATTTACAGAGGATGAGATCATCAACATCATTGTCTCATCATCACCTTCATCATCAGATGAGTTTCATGCAAAAAAGAGCACATCACAAACCCCCACCCCACCCCCAAAAAACCCCCAATTTCAGTGTGCTTTTATAGTTCCTATTGATTTTCCTTCCAAGCATTTTCTTCAAAGAGAATTATAGATGCAGGTTTGACTGGCTTAGGAAATTTGTTCTCCATATTATGTTCTGCATCATGTGATAAATTGTTACTATCCAAGCATTTAGGCAGCAGCCTTTCTGCAGAAGGCGTCTCTGTCATTCCACCTT